ACTCCCAAGAGGGATGAAGGACCCTTAGAATCAGTTGCAACAATGTTTCCTTCTACATTACTTTGGATTTCTGATGTTACTGGAAGAAGGTCGGCCAATTAGGACATGCTGCAGTGACTCCTATACTGCTTAAGTAATATTGATAGGGGCCCTGTATTGTCTACTGACATTTCATGCAAATCCTCCAGCTCACATTGCTAGTGTCTTGCCAGTGGCACTGGAGATCACTGGTATCATGCAAACTCCTCATGAGACAACCATGTAAGCCATTTCATGTAAGCCATTTCACACTTAGTGACATGGAAACAATTGCAACAGATGCCCCTCTTTCAACAGCTCCAGGACCATAGGTCGAGGGCAAATGGGTGAGGCCAAACCCTCAGCCTTAGCCATTCACCAGCTAGTATCTCCCTTGGGGCTTCTTCCCCTGACTGGAAAGAATAAACTGCACAGTGGAGTCTCCCCATGTGATCTGGAGCTTACAGCCGTCCACTTTAAGCATGGTGATGCAAGAAGGAAACAAGCTTCAGCTTCCATATGGATGTTTCCACCACAGAGCTCATAGTAAGTCCAAACAGCTGCCTGAGATTTAAAAAAATGGTGCTGGGGAAGGCGCTAATCCTGATCTGAGTGGGACCCCCCAACACACACTGCTATTTATGTGTGTGTGTATGTGTGTTTGTTAACAATGGGAGAGATTTGTTCACAGGTTTCCTGATGCCATACCTAGTCTGGGTCTCAGAAGAACTCCCAGAACAAAATGAGAGAATCACCAGCAGGACCATCTTACCAAACAGAAAAGGTAACATTAACTCCAGCTGTTTGTGTGGATGGCAGTTTCTTCCAAAAGAATTAATATTACAGTCCACCTGCTGCCACTAAGTGTTTTTGCTTAAATGAATCAATGTATTATGTTTAGCCATAACATATTGGGGGCACTTTGTTCATGGAACAGGCAACACTTATTGTAAATGAGATTTTAAAAAAATGTTTACTGCAGTTATTGCAGTAAAAAAGGGGGGGCAAATTTAGTTAGGGGTTTTACAAAGCTGACGGATGGGCTTAACCAAAGGGTTAAGATGCAAAGCACCATGTGCTGCTTCCAGTCTATTTTTGACAAAGTCTATTGCTGGAAACCACAGTCCCTCCCCCCACCAATCATTTGTTATAAAGGGGTTTTATGATACAAATTTGATAATCTCCCTTGCACATTGGCACAGTTCTAATTGGAGTTGTAGGCCCATAAAATTCAAGCTCTTTGTTTTCCTGAAGGCCGCAAGGTTTTCAAAGATACTATTGTGCCGCCTAAAACCCATAAAATTGTCACTAGGGACTGATTAAACAGTCCTGAATTGAGACAGTGCGGATTTTGTCTAGGTCCCTTTCAGGCATAACAATGCTCTTTTCAACTCCCAAGACAAAAGGAGGTTTAAGGAGTGATTCTCTGGGAGATTCTTCCAAGATAACCCCAACCATATGGAAGACAAGGTGGCCAGCAGCTGAGACAAAAAAACAGGTGACAACAGGACTGTCCAACACTCCCCTCCCCAACAACAGCCCAGACCCAAAGATCTCTGTCCCCCACTCAGACATTTTCTTGAAATCACCACCCACGGAGCTGGGCACAACACAATGACCCCAATCCTTACAAACAATGGGATTCAGAAGTCCCAGTGTAGAACACAAGCAAAGGACACAAGCCAGCCTCTTTGCGGTAAAAACCAGTACCCAGGGAATTGGGTTTTGCACCAAGACAGGTAATAGACTGGTTGATCTCAAAAGCAAGAGGTGATGGCCTTCCCGATTACAGTTGTCTGTTTTAAAGGAACAAGACATTCAGGCTAGCTGTGCTGCTGGCAAGTCAAACCAGACCCAAGCTCCTTCTGTTGTAATACCCTCTTCCCTGCCTTGGCCTAGAAGTCAGTCATCCAGGCTAGATGATAAACATTCTCACTTACTGTCATTAGAGAGAACATGCTCCATGGTTCACTAAACAGAAGGACCTGAACAGTGTTTGCACCACCACTCCTGAACAGCAGTTTTATGTGTGACATCAAACAGAAGGCCAGTTCAAAATCCAATTTGCATTCCAGGCAATGTGTTGACACTACAATTTCAATTTCACCCATTTCCGCTCCACAAAATCAGATCCTATGTTTCACAGTCTTTAATTTCTGCTTTTTCTCAATGAAATGTTTCTTGGTAGGTGCCCTCATGCAATGTCTCCTCTTAGTTTTTAAAAATAGACCAGGAATAAACATACGAAAGCCTCTGGTGTGACACTGAAGGACTTGGCTAACTAGAAGACTCTCAAACCTTGCCTTTCAGCCACCTCTAGAGATCTGGAATACTTCTGTTGAAACCAGTTGGTTTAATTGCATTGGGACTAACCATATGAAGCAGTACAGCAGGAAATGGGAAAATGGGGGGAAAGGTCTACTGGGAAACTCCTGGCATTGGTGTCCCTCCCCAACAGCCAAGAGCCATTAAAGCTAATGAGGTGGGGGAGCAAATGGAGTTGAAACAGGATCCCAGGAGCCAAAATATCTGACCTCAATTCTCTTGTTATCCTACCTGGTAACTATTTCTTCTTCACACTGCCCTTCTCCTGTCAAACCACTCACACAGGGGCACACAGGCGTACCTTTGCGCTCTCTCTCACATACACACTCAGAGAGAGAGAGAGAAGGCTGCCAGAAAGGTGGTTCATGAGTGTAACTATACATACTTCTTTGGGGGGGTAATTTTTTAAAAAAACCCACCAAGGCTTGAGCATAGCAGCACATTGCAGCTGACCAGTCCAGGAAACAAAATCTATTCAATTTCTGAAAAGTATTCATTTGTTATACTTATTTCTAGGCTGCCCTCTCAGCGTTTGTGTGTAACATAATCAGATGTGGTCAGTAGCACCTTGGACCCCCGACCAGCCTGCCCTGGATCCACTCCTCCCCCCCTAACTTTGGCCCTAATTCCTGCTCTGGAGGTAGAGGTGCGCCGCAGCCCTTATTGTAGGATCAGAGATTTGGGGGAAGGGTCTCTTTCTTTTCAAGGCATTCTGGGTACTTTTCAGGGTACCCTGGAAGCTGTATACCAGAGTTCGTCTCCCAGATTCTTTCCCATCAATAGACTTCCAACTGTAATAATTCTGAGGCACGAAGTTAAGCACGTCCCGTTCATTGCAGTGGGCGAGATGTGATCCTGTGTTTCAGGCTCTGGCTGGAACGAATAGGGCTGGAAAGGGGGGGCCGGACAGGCGCCAGAGAGCTCCAGATTTCCACGCTGGCTGTTAATAATCTGGTCCAGAGCAGTTATAGGAACACAATGGACCCAATCAAGAGGAATTCTCAGGGCGGAGGGGAAGTCTGTTGAACGGAACAGCAGCCACACGCGTGATTAAAGCCATGTGCCTTTCGGAGAGTGGGGGTGTCCCTCTAGTACCGCGTCTGATATTAGAAAGAGGACACTGAGCAGATCGCTTGTGGGTGGCACCCGCGGGAGGAAGGAAGGCTTTCTTGGCACTGCCTTCCGTTCCGAAGACTTGGCGGGGGAGAGGCCGCACTTAACCCGTCCATCGGGCCGCAACATGCCCGCCTCCCTCCCCGCTGCTTCAGAAGCATTCTGCAGCAAGAAAGGCCGCCGGGGAGTCGGAGAATCGCAGAGGAGTGGGATCGACAGACAGGCCTTTCGTTAAAGGCCGGGGAGGGGACTCTACTCGTCCACCTCAAGTTAGACCCACTTCAGCCGGGACTGAAGTGGGTCTAACTTGAGCTCCGAAGCCCCCGGACTGGAAGATGGCGAAGACGCAGACTCGAGCCCCCAAAGGAGCTTCATTGCAGCCAGCCAATGCATTTTGAAGGGGGGGGGATTGTAAAGCTGTGAATGTCAATTGTGTACAGATGTGGTTCGCAAAACGAGGGCTTCACCTCTCAAGGATGCAGACTGAGCCAAAGGAATCAACCGAGGCCTTGCTCTTTTGTACGCCCGATCCTCAGACGTGATCTCACTGAATGAGATTAGGCCATTTCCTCCCAAGTAAATGTCCATACCATTGTAACCTTCCGTGCGAGTGGAGTGAAAAATGGAATCTTCTGAGACTTTAACAAAAACCTTTCTGGCGCACCTCCCGGGGCCAGCCTGCCAAAAAAGGCCGGGATCCCGCGGAGCAAGACGGTTTCTTAATGAGGGTAGAACGACCGATTTGACAGCAAGGAAGTCGCGACTCGTTTCCTTGCGAAAGAAACGAATCCATTAACAAACACTACGCTGTCGATTCACCTTCTTAAAAACCAGAATTAGGGTGACCCGGAAAGCCAAGAAAGCCTTTCCTCTTCCCGCTTGGCTGGACACTCCCGTCATTTACATGGAAGTCCTGCTGGATTCTGTTGGACTTAATTGCAAACAACGTCTGTGTCCTAAGCATAGGAGCTCTCTCCTTCGTACAGTACAACTTGTACTCCGCTGTTCATCAATTCGGAACTACTTCTCCTCTCCCTGGATGCCCTCACAGACCCTCCACCTCTACAATCCCTTACATGGGATCACAGTCTCCCCACCCTGATGTCGGTTATTAAAAGGTTCTCTAAGGGACCGAACAGGAATCCATGTCTGAGCGCAGTGCTGCCTGCCTGCCTGCCTGCCCCCCCCCCCGCGTTCAACGGGGCTTCCTTCTCCCAATTCAGTCTGCAGCCCTGAAGGTCACCACAACCGGATACTCCAATCCTAAATACACTTACTTCGGTGCAAAAGCGGCGTAAGGCCGTGCAAGTATGTTTAGGTTTAGGAGTCGCTTGGAAACTGCGGTGCGGGCGGGCGTGAAAACGGTTGCGAGCAGCGTCGTCCCGTTTAGCTCTAGAGGAGTTCTATTGCAGCCTTCGTCTCGGCTGGCCCCGAGGCTGGGCGGGTGTCCGAGCCCAAGGCAGCCTCCCAAGACCAACCGGCCAGTCTGGAGGGGCGGGTGCGAGTCCTCCGCTCTCTGTTCAGAGCCGCGGAGGGCGCCTCCCTCACCCCCAGTTCCAGGAGACCAGGGCCGGCGGCGCTAAGTGCTGGTAGGCCGGGAAGAGGCTCAGGGAGGCGGCCGGCGGGAAGGCCGAGTAGCCCTGCAGGCTGAGAGAGCTGTGGGGCCCGCCGCAGTCCTGCGCCGCCGCCGCCGCCGCCGGGCCGCTGCAGCCTTGGCACGCCTTGCCGTCCCGCACCAGCACCGGCACCACCACCCTGCGCAGCAGCGGCGCCTCGCCCGGCCCCGCCCGGCCGCCGCCGCCGCCGCCTCCCTTGGCGCCCCGCTTCATCTTGTAGCGGTGGTTCTGGAACCAGATCTTGACCTGGGTGGGCGTCAGGCGCAGCACCTGGGCCAGCTGCTCCCGCTCGGGCGCCGACAGGTAGCGCTGCTGTCGGAAGCGTCGCTCCAGCGCCAGCGTCTGCGCCTTGGAGAAGAGCACCCGCCGCTTCTTCCTCTTCTCCTCCTTCTCTTCCTCCTGGGCCGCGGCCGCCGCGGCGGGGCACGATCTGCTCTCAGGGCCGCTCTCGTCCGAAGCTGCAGCAGGAGACGCGGGGGAGGGGGAGGGGGGAAACGAATAACAAAGAAACGCCGTCAAAAAAACCCGAGGAAAGGCAAGGCAGGGACTACAGAGGCATGGTTCGGATTACGTGAGGTTTTAATATCAGCACGCACGCACGCTGTGGTGGCCGGCGCCTGTCCATCCGCCCGTTTAGCCCTTTTCTCTGCAGAGTCGCCAAAATCCTGGCCTAAGCATCCGGGCGCGAAGGGCTGTAAAACCCTCCCTTCGGCGGACCCTTGGGAGCAGAAAGGAGGCAGCCTTTGAGAGTGAGCCGATGAAACGAATCTATTGGTCTCCTCAGTCTCGATCTGGCCAAAGACCTTCGGGAGGACAGCATGCGAGAGCTGGGGAAAGCAGCCCTACGGTTACAGTTTAAGTCTTCACTGCAGGGTGATTTTATAAAAAGGCTACAGTCATGCTTTGCGGATATTAAAATACAAATATAATCTGTAGCTAATATTTCCCTGTCTTTCCTGTTTAGCTATATTTGCATTGATCTGTGAAAAGAAAGACAGGGCACAAATGCATTCGATGATAAGTATGCAACTATGGTAGATTTCTTCGCTCTCCCTTCCGCTCCCCCAAATCCCCGGCCTCAGCTTAGTCCCAGGTCTCACGAGCTCTAGCATACCTTCGAACCCGCTCCCTGAGCCCCTTCTCCAAAGCCACGCCGTGGAAGAAGGACCAAAACAATCGAGGCGGGTGGCACTGGGCGACTGCTCGCATCGACGAGTCTAGGTAGGGGCCCTATGGGTGTGTGGGAGTACTGCCATTCCTGATTCAAAAGGTGTAATTTGGTCATATGGCGCTTGTGAGCGGCTCTTGGAACCCAAAATGGTGTCCTTCTGTCCTGGCAAGACTGCCCAGCATTCAGACGCGAATATATATTGATGGGAAGAAGTCCACTCGCATCGAGGTGACACATTGAGCAAGAGGGGACTGAAGGGACATCGCCTTCCAGGGCCAGGTAGGAGACGAGACTGGCTCCCTGGGGTTTATGCCAATGAAGGGGCCCCATCAGAGCACCACTTTTTTCTGGGAAAGCATATTGGAGGCATGGCCTAGAATCATAGAGTTGGAAGGGTCATCTAATCCAACCCCCTGCACAATGCAAGAAATTCACAAATACCTCCCGCCCCACATGGCCAGTGACCGCTGTTCCACGCCCAGAAGATGACAATCCTACTGGATTGTTCTTTACATTTCAGGATGTAAATGGGATCTTGTCTTTTCCATGGCCTATATTTCTCTGTCCAATCTATTTTAATGCCAGGGGCCAGATATTTCTATGAGTCAAACGTCAGGGAAGGGCCCCTTGGAGCCCAGAGTTCCCTCACTCAGCTCTTGGGGACGTCAAGCGGAAGGACAAAGAAGACCACACGTTTGGCCTCTGGAGCAAAAGTCCATTCGAAATACAGGAAGGGAGAAAATGCTGGCAACTGCCCTAGATTGCAATGAAGTCAGGACTGAAGTTTCAGTCTCTCCACCCACCACCGATTTCTGGAGCTCCAACCGATGGCACCAAGATCGGGATCAAGATGAGGACTCGGACTGAGCGGGAATCTGCTTTCATCTAAAACCCCAGGCTCCTATCCACCCGTAATAGGTCGTCGCGCTGCATTCAGTGGGGCTGGCTTCCCAGTAAGGGTCCGGCTCCATTGATGTGGAGCTGGCGCAGGTTGCGCTAAAATCGCCCCCTAGCCAACGTTAAGCTTCTTTAAGTCCCATTGTTTTCAATGGCAGCGCTAAGCGTGCGGGAAAATGTCTTCCGCTGGAAGCCATGGGAATTCAAGAAAGTTGCCTAACTGTACACAATTGTGGCCCATCAGTGCAGCAATCCTAAAACCACTTTCCTGGGAGTAAGTCCCATTGAGTAGACCTCAATAAGACTTGCTTAGAATTGCTCTCTAGATTTCATAAGCACGAAGGACCGGCCTGGGAGAGTTCATGAGTCTCCTTCAATCGATCTGATTTGTCAGCGCGATCCCAAAACAGAATTACCCCCTTCTAAATTCATTGAAAGCAACGGGCTTAAGGATGTACCTCTTCTTCGCACTGTAAGTGGACTCTCTGAACCGTACATGTGGGACGTTCAGACGCGGAAGGCTCCTCTTTACACACAAATTATTTCACATCTGCAAACGCAGACTAGATTTGACATCGCCTTTGAAAACGTTAGCCGGAGGAAAACAGAAAGCGAGACTACTGGAAAGTTGCAGTTATTTAATTTAAATTGTTTTAGGGGTACACTGAAACACGAAACCTGAAAACGTTAAATCCGGGGACAGGGTAGAGAAATTACAAGTCAGGGCAAAGAAATAGGTAGCAGCAAATGATCTTGCCTTGTTGCCCATATATACCAACACAGCCCCAGCGTACACTATATAACTAGAACATACTATAATTAGTGTAGTCATTGTAGTAGAGATTAGGCTAGAGTAGACCAATGTCTGTCCCCCCCCCCTTGACATAACCGCTGATCGCGTGGTACAGGCGGTTCCAGTGTTCTGTGTGCTGCAAAAGGGGTATACAGATCGTTGTTAACAAATGAGTCCTTTTCTAAAGAAGAAAACTCGAGAATTACTTTATAAACCAGTTTCCAGATCCATAAATATCCAGTGGAATTGACACCTAAGTAAGTGTAATTGGATTGCTTGTAGAATAGAGTAATGACCAGGTTAAAACAATCGAGGGGGGGGGAGACACTGCATGTTAGTATTCTCATGATTTAAGCAGATATACCCCTAGACATTCTGAAACAAATGCTCACGGCGCTGTGCATCAACCCGCACTATATCCGTCTACATGGAACAGAATATAAATACTAGAATAGTCCGTAATTTATGACTAGAAGAGAGGTGATATTTCAAGATTCTGCTAAGAGTGGAGCTCTATTTCTGTTGATGGTTTGTAATTTTAGAGATATAAATATAGATATATACATGCGTGCGCGCCTGCCTGCCTGCCTGTCTCAACGCTCTCATATTCATATCAATTATATTCTCCCACCCCCCACCCCCGTTTATGTTTCAGGTGTAGCGAGATTCCTTTCACAAGCTAGATTATTAGAAAGCGTCTCTCTCCGTCCTTTACACATCTCATCTGCCTGCAGTCTCCCCGAGAACCAGCTCTTGCGGCTTATTTACGGCTTATTTATTTACCTGTACCCTCGGGAGATCGCCCCTACCTATTCTTCCAGCCACGCATTCAGGAGCCTTTCGCCCTTTCCCTCTCCAAAATGCTGGTGGTATCTCTTGTCCTCCCCCCGGCTCGGTTTCCTCGCTGCAGATCTCCCCCAAGCCCTCCACCCCCGAGCCAAAGGGTGCTTCCCGCCCCCCACTCACAGAGGTAGTGGTTCCTGTCGGTTTCCATCCATTCCCGGTACGGGGAGCCGCCGTAGCTCTCGGCGGAGTCCTGTTCCTTGGCGCCGTCGTCGTCCTCGGGCTCCGGTAAATCCAACAGGCTCCTGACGGTGAAGCTGATCTTGCCCACCGTGGCCATGGCAGAGGTGCCCTCCCGAGCGCGCTGGAAGGGGTGCCCGCCAGCCGGGAGCGAGCTAGGGGGCACCGGCGCGCCTCGGTCGCCGCAGGCTCATCGCAGCCTCCCAGCCGGCGGGAGATTAGTGTCGCTTACCGAGGGGGCTCCTGTTTATATCAACAGTCCTCCCCACCGTAAACACTGGCCGCTTTCAAACCGTCCCTGTCTATGGGATGCTAAGTACCTGAATTAGTCAAGTGCTAAAGCCCTAATGGGGGTGGGGGCGACCTCCCTCCCCCGCCGCGCACCCACCCCCTCCGGCCCCCCTATTCTGTCTGATTAGGCCAAAGTGGGGACAGATAATGGTAATTGTTAGCCGTGAATAACATCTTGGGTGGTATGTGGGGGACCCGCGGCCGCCCTCGCCAGTCCCTCCGCCCTTCTCTTCGCACACAAAGTGAATCCTCGCAGGAACATCCGCAGCGCTCGTCCGGGGCTCGCTGGCTTGCCTCGATTCCACACACACCCCCGCCCAGCTCAGCCTTTTGACGAGAATGCAGGAATTTATTCATTGTTTGTTTTCCACTCCGAGTTTGGGAACCACTTGGGGGTCGAAGCGACAAGTATCCCGCGCAAATTCTTCTATTTAAGATAAAGAATGTAGGTGTGATTTGTCTTTCTAACCTCAAACATGCGGGTTTCGACCACAGGAAATTTCCTCTTCAGGTTTTCTCTTTTTTTGGGGGGGGGGAGGAATAGTTCAGCCAGAGGGTCTTTATCCCTCGTGGTTCTGAGTACTCTTTATTTGGAAGCCAGCACCCTCCAGAGCATTGGGACCTACCTCCAAGTAGGGTTTAAGCCAAACCTCGTTAAACTAAGCCTACTTCGGACGAGCTCCTCCATTGCAGTTGGGTCGGGCTCTTCCGAGACTCATTCCTGAGCACACTTACGTGAAAGCAAATTCGGCTGCCATCAGTACCGCGAGGTGTCCTTCCCAGGAGGGTTCCGGCAGTTCTGCGGCACCCGGTCTTCCTGATCACGTGAGATGGAAGCCGTCCAACTGCGGAGACTGAAAATGGATTCTGGAGCGAAGCTTTATAGCGGTTAGCAGTCCTAGAGACGACGCTACCGCTTGGCTGGTTCCCTGCCAGGTTTCCAGAAGGTGGAGAGATAGCAAAGCACAAAAGAAGGGGGAAAGGAAAGGGAGAGATTTTAGTATTAATTTAATTCAACCGCATCATCTTAGAGTCTTTCTTCCCTGGCATATAGGAAACGAAACCGGTTTAGATGAGGCTCGAGCTAAGCGGTAAATAGGAAGGGCGAAGTCAAACCAAGATACTTAGGGAAGTTGCCATAAGCTGCCACTTCTTTGCAGGTCGTTGCCACTCTAGAAAAGGAGGGCGTCACCACGCAGCCTCCGGCTAGATTCCAACTAGGCATCGCCCGGGCTGGCGCTAAACGGCCTTCTCCTGTGTAGTCAGACGTTCCTAGTCTCGGGGGCGACTCATTTGAAGAAGCCCGGGAGAGCTTGTGGTTCACAACTGCTCATGTTTAAAGTGCTACAAGACTCGGTTTAGTTTCAGGTACCTGCTAGTATTGACTGGAGTCAGGTGGGTTTAAAAAAAAAACCCAGTGAAGAGCAATCTGGCCAATTTGTTGTGCTGGACGAGGATCTGGAAGATATGAGTTCAAATCCTCACTCCAGCAAGAAGTTGGCTGGGTGATTTTGGGGCAGTCGCTCCTTCTCAGCCTATCCTGGCTCAGGCAGGGAAATGAGGAGGATCCGACCCATGCATGCCCCTCTGGGCTCCTTGGAGACAGAACGAGATCAAACTGTACTAGATGGATTTTTAAAAAGGCAACATAGACTGAGAAGAAGCGGAGGGGGGCTTGATAAACTGTGAGTGGGGAGCCCGGAGGGAGTGTTCAGCCGCGCAACTGAATGGCGGGCCTCCTGTGTAACAGGCAAAGGACTGAGAAGTCTGGCGGGTTGTTCACTCAACCCGCTTTAGCATCCATGCGAGAGGAGGGTTATGGTTATTTTAAAAGAAGGCTGTATTCCGGACGACATCAGTACGGAGAAGAGCATATATCTCCTATCAGTGTTTATCCTAGAGAATAAAAGGATATGAATGAGGTCAGTTTTTAAATGTTTTAAATTATACCAAAGAGAAATCGTTCTCAGACCGTTTGTGGGTTCCCCTGATGTCACGCCGAGACTCCTTCCAAATTGAGTCACCGCCTCTCCAGCCTGGGGAGCGGAGTCGAGTCGCCTTTTCTTTCAGACGGCGGCCCGAAGTCAGCTCCAGTTGCCCTCCCGGATGCCGATTCCCAGTCGCCTTTGGAGCAGGTCGCCAATGAGGGCCGGACAGGCCGACGCATCAGCCGCGCACAGACGTCTCTCTCGCTCGGGCGGGGGGACCGCCTGGTGCAGCAATTGTGCCCTAGAGAGCGAGCAGCAGGCGTCCCAGTCAGAGACCCACGTGTTTCCAAACCCGCTGTTTAAACAGTAATTAATGAACGAATAGTGGTGTTTTTTTTCCCCTTCGGTCACTTCAGGCGTTTGTTTCTGTCCCTGCTCCGCTGATATATCTGTAATCGCCATCCTGGTTGTGATGAGCCGCTTTGAGACGCCTGCATGGAAAACCGGGAGACAGATATTTTAGTCAAGAAACAAATCCTAAACGAGCTGTTGTCAGCGAGATTGACTTCCACCCAAACCATCTGGTCGGGAGGACCTCCGGTTGCTGCAACCCAGGACCTATTTGCTTACATTCGGGGACATGTAGGTCGAACAGAAGTTGAATCGAGCGACTAGGCGGTGGATCGTGCATTCACGATCAATCAACACTGGAGGGGTTAAGCAGCATATATCTCTCTATCGGACTGTGGCCTGGTTAGCTAAAACCAGAATCCAGTTAACATAAGCAAATCCATCTGAGGATGGGCTTAATCCCACATATTTTAGTATAGCTGGACTGACCCTTGATTGAGCCACTGGTTTCATTCAGTACAGAAATCAGGTATTATCACTTTAGTCAGTTTAAATGCTTAGTCCTGTCTGATCAAATGGGCTTCTCGTCATTGTGCTCGAAAGGGAAACAACGCTGTCCTTCTGCAAATGTCTTGCAGGCTATTTTGTCGCCAAATTAAACAGATCATCTGGAGCCGATATTAATCCTGGCATGCTCCCTTGCCTTCCATTTATATTGTCCTTCATACTACCACTGAGTAGATCTGGCTGCTACCTATATGCTGGGTATTGTTGAAATTAAAAGACGCCTGTTCCTTGGGAGGAAAGCGATAGCGAACCTAAACAGCATGATAAAAAGTAGATACAGCACCTTGCCAACAAAAGTCCGCATGGTCAAAGCAATGGTATTCCCAGTAGTCATGTATGGCTGTGAGAGTTGGACTATAGGGAAGGCTGAGCACCGAAGAATAGATTCTTTTGAACTATGGTGCTGGAGAAGACTCTTGAGAGTCCCTTGGACTGCAAGAAGATCAAATCAGTCGATCCTAAAAGAAATCAACCTCGACTGTTCCCTGGAAGGCCAGATAATGAAACTGAAGCTCAAATACTTTGGCCACCAAATGAGAAGGGAGCACTCACTGGAGAAGACCCTGATGCTGGGAAAGATTGAAGGTCAAAGAAGACAGGACGGCAAAGGATGAGATAGTTAGACAGTGTCATAGATGCAACGAACATAAAATTGAGCAAACTTCAGAGGACGGTGGAAGACAGGAGGGCCTGGCGTAATCTTGTCCATGGGGTCACAAAGAGTCGGACTCGACTGTGTGACTGAACAACAACAACATATGTTGGGTATTACAAGTTGAAAACACTCAGTATATCCGGGGTTAAATGTTTGTTTATGTTACTCACTGGAAGTCACATGTTTCTCATGTAACCAATGTTCTTTAGATGTAGAAAGCCCGGGAATTTTCTCCCTGATCTAGGAATTTGATTGGGACTAAAGTGTCAAGGTGTATTACCATTTTATGGCTTCTCTTACTGTCTTTGTTTGGTGTTCTGAAGAACAAGAAGAGCAGCCATAATCTCTCTCTTCTAGTTTTGTCTTTGTAGAGTAAGGATGTAGTAGATTTTGCTCTGTTGTTATTTTCATCCCAGTTACCCTTCCCATGCTAGAATTTAGTAAAAACTTTATATTTTAATCACACATGGATTCTGAGTCTGAATTATTTTACTCTGGCTCTGCTGGACTATCTTATCTCTGCTAAATACCATTTTTTCAATATCTCACTATCACCCAACAAAGGTTATAGGTGCCCAGATTGCTTCAGCTGTGACAGATAGCTAAGCAGAGTGCGCAACCAGACTCGGAGTCAAGAAAAATCATGTGTGCTGGAGTTTTCTAAAACAGAATTTTGAACTTAACTCGCATTGGATTTATGAGATTCAGACAACATCCTGTTTTCTTCATGAACTTGTGGGACCAGACTAGACGCCTGTGTTTCCAAGTCGGAGAAAGCCTGTACTTTTTGACCTGAGTTCGTCTTCTTCTGTGCTAAGTGAAAGAAAGAAGGAAATGGGGTGAGACCAATCCTGGCTGTTTCCTACTGAAAAACTTAATCCCACGCTCACAAAAGATTGCCCGTTGCCCTCATCACTCTCAAGTTTTGGTAACATATAAAAGGAGAAATCGTCACGTCTGCAGCTAAGAATCTTGCTTTTTTCAATATGCCCACCTTAGTCTCAACTAATTTCTCTTGGTGGAAGAGATCAGTAAAGAATGCCTTTCAAGCTCATGGAGCTCTTTCTGTGCTCACTGACGATCCTCCTGAAGCTGGGGCCACTCTTGAAAAGTACAGAGGGTACGATGGATTTGGGATGTCTTTAATTATGGGAACCATAAATGCTAAATCAGCAACTTTTAGAGTGCACGTCCACAAAACAAATGATGTTGAAGCTTGAGCAAACTTATGCTTCAAAAAATGATGCTAATTACTTGTTCCTTTATCAAAGATTAATAAATGCAAAAATGAGAAATGGTGAATCACTA